CCAGAGCTCCGTTATTTTTTTTGAAAATTTTACAATTTCAGTATAACAGTTAACAACTTTTGTAATGCTATTAACAACTTTAGTATAGCGGTTAGCAACAGGTTTTTGGAGAAATTCAACAATTGGTCGCCGGAGCTCCGATAGCCGAAAACAATTTTTTTGAAAATTTTTACAACTTCAGTATAGCGGTTAACAACTTTTGTAACACTATTAACAACTTTTTTTTTTTGGTAAGAAAAGAGGCCTTAGGCCCAAAACAAAAAAAGTAAAAAAAAATCAAGGGGGCAAGTGCCCAGAGACATCCGCAGCACGTCTTGCAACTTCGGCGTCTTCTACCTTGTCTTCCTCAACTAGTTTTGTTAGTGCCGAGGGGGTTTCCTCCCACATATTACAACCTAACTCCAACCCAAACCCCAGTTTCGCCAAAGCGTCAGCACAAGCATTCGCCTTCCTGTCCACTTTACAAATTCTGACATTCTAGCTTCTTTCAAGCATTTGCAAAATCCGGCGAAAGACAGGGGGAATAAAGCTCCCTTCTATCGTCTTCCCTCGTAGCATTCTAATCAGCACCTCTGAATCAGATTCAACAATCACTTGATGATACCCCTTTTGCCAAGCAATTTCCAACCCTCTAAGCATTCCCCATCCTTCAGCTTCCAAGACTCCACAAAAACCCAGCCTTTGCGTGAAACCACATATCCAGTTTCCTTGGTGATTTCTCAACAGACCCCCACAGCATGCAGAACCCGGATCCCCACGACAAGCCCCATCCGAATTGATTTTAATCCACCTTGAATCAGGAGGTTCCCATCGGCAGAGAGACGAACATAAAGGTGGAATCTTTGAAGTTGAAAGCTTGCAAAGAGTCCCCTTCGCCTCCAAAATCTCCAGAGCCATCGACCAAATCTTCTGAGCTATCACTCCACTATCAGGAATAGAGCCACAAAACACTCTCTCATTCCGGCTTCTCCATAACACAGAACATGCAACTCCGAATACAATGCTCCAAGGTATGTTCCTTGTTCTTCTGTTAGAGGCTAAATTATTTTCAATCCATCTTTGTAATGTGACTGAGAAAAATTCTGGGTTTTGTTGCTTTGTTGAAAAAATCTGCTTCCAAACATTGTTAGCGAAAGGACAATCTCTGACCACATGAATGGATGTTTCCAACCTTCCACACATATCACACATACCATTCTCCCCCCATCGTCGGTATCGTAACCCTCTCGTATGTAATCGATCTAAGGATAATAACCAGAGGAAACATCGGATCCTTTCAGGACCATTCCATTTCCAAACAAGCTCCCATACACGTTCCTTCACCCCCAATTTCTCTCCCCTTATACCCCGATATCCCTCTTTGACTGAGTAATTACCATTGCCACCTTTCCAGAGAATAACATCACGACCCACCCCAACAGGGGGATGAAAAGCGTTAATTTTCTCCACCATATCTGTATTGAGTAAGAACTGGAATTTCTCCCAACGCCACTTCCCTTCACTATTAACCATGTCCGCAACCGACCACTCCAACCACTCATCACATATTGCTTGAGAACAATGATCAATTAAAATTGTCTCCTTGTCTAGCCATGGTTCAAGCCAAAAAGAGGTGCTTCTTCCGTCAACAATTCCTTTCCACGCATTATCATTAAGAGTTTCCCACACTGCTTCTAGGTCCCTCCAAAGGGCCGAAGCATTCTTTGGAACTGGTAGGATTGAAGAGAGCTCAATACCATTATTATACTTATGCCTTAGAACTTCACCCCAAAGCCCTTCCTCGCCATTCCTTAGAGCCCAAGCCAATTTCAATAGGCAAGCTTTATTCATGTCTCGCAAATTCAGAACCCCCATTCCCCCATTTACTTTAGGTTTCTGCATAATCTCCCACTTCACAAGATGCATCTTCTTATCCTCCCCCTTATGTCCCCAAATAAAATTTCTTTGCACTCTTTCAATTTCATCAGTAATCCCTTTTGGAAGAAGGGAGACTAACATAGGGTAAATAGGCATAGAGCCCAGAACAGATTTAGCAAGAGTTACTCTACCCGCCATGCTTAGACAATTAATTTTCCAACCTGCCAACCGCTTTTTAACTTTCTCAAGAACAAAATTAAACTCCTTATTTCTACCTCTATCAAACATAAGAGGCATACCCAAATATTTACCCATATTACTAGTTTCTTCAAAGTCAGATAGACCAGTTAGGTTCCTTCTGATATCCTTAGCCATATTTCTTGAAAAGTAAATTAGAGACTTTTCTTTATTTACTTTCTGCCCAGAAAGAGTACAGAATCTCTCCAAGCAGCTCATAGTGATCCTCATCTGCTCCTCCGATGCAACCCCAAACAAGAGAAGATCATCAGCAAACATCAAATGAGTAACCTCCGGTCCTGCTCTACTACCCACTCGAATAGACTTCCATTGCCCTCTTTCTTTCACATCTTGAATGATATGACTCAATTTTTCCATTGCAAGAACAAAGATATAGGGAGAAAGAGGATCCCCCTGCCTCACCCCTCTAGTTGGCATGAATTTTTCTGTCTTTTCGCCATTCCAAATTATCTGCATAGAAACAGAAGTAATGCACTTCATGATAAGATCTCTGAACTTTGCATCAACCTTTAACTCACGAAATATTTTTTCAACACAAGACCAGCTCAATCTGTCATAGGCCTTTTCTAAATCTATCTTCAAAGCAAAATAGCTAACTTTCCCTCTCAAGTGCCTCATTGAATGAAATAATTCCTGCGCCACAACAATATTATCTTGTATGCGTCGACCCGGCACAAAACTAGCTTGATTAGGGGCAACTACTTTGTTCAACCATCTCTTCATCCTACCAACCAAAATCTTAGACAAACATTTATAAGCAACATTACATAGACCAATGGGTCTCATTTGCTTTAAGTAGATTGGCCTTTCCACTTTTGGAATCAAGACCAGTAAAGTGCCATTAACCTCCTCTAATCTCTCTTCTCCTTTCCAAAGTTTCTGAACATATGTACACAAGTCATTTCCAATCACCCCCCACTCCTTTTGGAAAAAAAGAGCAGGGAATCCATCTTCCCCTGGGGCTTTGAAGGCTCCAATAGAGAAAATGGCTTCTCTTATTTCCTCAATCATAGGTATACGACACATACCAGAAACATCCACTTCTGAAAGTTCAGGATAAGAAATAGTTAAATCAGGTATATCACCACTGTGATTATTCTGATCCTCTTCTTCAAACAACTTAGCATAGAAATTCCGGGCCATACATTTCAATTCTTCATTATCCTCCACCCAATCACTCTCATCATTCATAAGCATCACAACTCTATTCCTTCTTCTTCTCGCAACTGTACGAATATGATAAAATTTAGTATTCCGATCACCATCATTAATCCACTCACCTCTAGATTTTTGAAACCAAAGAAACTCCTCCTGTTGCAACACCTCCTCCAGCTCATCTTGAAGTTTTCCTTCTAAAATGACAAGTGAGGTAATTGGCCTATTAAGAGAACTCATTTTGCGTTGAATCCCATCAATTCTAGCCAACAACCTCCTCTTTTTTAGTTGGATATGTAGGAAAACTTCCTTATTCCAGACTACCAGTTTATCTTTCAAATTCTCTAGTGTTTTCCTCTAGTTACCCCCTTTCCTCCAGTTCTCCTTCAGCATGTCTTCAAAATTATTATGAATAAGCCAGGCAGCTTCAAACCGAAAAGGTCTCACAGCCAGGTTTCTCTTAGTATCATCCAAACACAACAAAAGAGGGTTATGATCTGAGCAACCCAATCGAGGTAAATTTTTTATCACCGTGTTAGGAAAGAGACAACTCCAAGAACTACTGCATAATCCTCTGTCTAACCTTTCAAAGATTCTGTCATAGCCATGAATAACTGGTCCCTTCCAAGTAAATCTGTTACCCCAAGATATCACTTCCATTAAATTGCAATTGTTGATTCTCTCTTCAAACAATTCACATCTTCTATGATTGATAGGAGCACCACCCTTCTTCTCATTCTCCCCTCTTATATCATTAAAATCACCCATTATCAACCAAGGAGCATTGACAGATTGAGCAAAACTTTCCATATCAACCCAGAAGCGTTGTTTATCCCGTTCACGTGGCCCAACATAAGCCACTGTAAAGAACCACTCAGTCTCTTCCTTTAATTTAAGAAGCACATACTGTGAATTTTCAACCTCTACAGATAGTGAAACAAGCTCCTCCTTCCAAGCCACCCAAATCCCTCCAGCAAACCCCACACCTGGAACAACAACCCAGCAATTAAATCCCAAACGTCTGAATAAGCCATCAGCTTTATTTTTGTCCACCCTTGTCTCCAAAAGCCCTAAAATAGCAGGCTTCCTTTCTTGAACAAGCATTCTTAGGCCACTCTCAAACCTCCTACTTCCAGCTCCTCTACAATTCCATATTAAAAACTTGCAACTGTTACTCATCATAGTATAAGGAATATTAAAAGGGCAATAAACCCATCAGTCAATGCTCATCACGGCCTCAGCCCAATGCTCATCCTTGTCCTCCAGCTCCTTATCTCTCCCTTCCTCTAACAAACTGTCCGTTTTCAAATCAGGTGGTTTGCTCATACCACCTTCCTTGTACATTAATAATTCTCTAGCAATCTCAGGAGTCTCATGCACTATATTAATATCCAGCTCTTGTAAACTGAGCCTCCCACTGTCATTGCTAGCTGTAGTCTTCCCTTCCTCCCTATTTTCTGCTTTTAAACTTTGAGAGGCCTCCAAATTTCTCTTTAACTTGCCACTCAAACCAGATCTATGATTAGAGACCGCAATCGCCAAAGAAGGAACCTCCTTGCTTTCTTCATACACCTTCTCCGTCCTAACCTCCCTCGATGTCCCAGATTTCTTTTTATACCATACCTTATTTGCCACTTGTGTAGACTCCTTAGCAAATCCACCATTCCCCTTATTCTCCTCCTGCACTGATTCTTCCACTACATTCAAGCCAGCAAACCGAGAACCCATGTTTAGCTCATTCCCTCCATCAGCAGCATTGCCCCTTTTCTCACTTTGTGGGAACCTTCGTGGTCTCCTTCTATACTGCACTTTAGACCATTCACCAAATATAAAGCACTCACCTGTCCATCAGCTCCTTTCTCTTTTCCACAGCCCCCGTCTTCTGCCCCTTTCCTCTCCTTACATTCCCTTTCCGTATGCCCATACATACCACAACAAAAACACAAGAGGTGAAGACCTTCATAAGTAATTGGCCTTTCCTTATTCCCAATAATATACAGGGGGAGTAATGGTTTCCTTAAATCAACTTGCACTCCCACTCTTGCATATCCCCCTCTTGATTGAAGAGAGGTAGTCATATCAACTTTGACCGTTCTACCAATCTCATTGCCCATTGCTTCTAAAATGCTTTCATCATAGTATTCAAGAGGTAAATCAGGAAATCTAATCCAGATCAGAACGTCCTCAATAGCTTCGGTTTTGGGATCAAAATTCGGCTTCCAATCCCTAACCGTGAGATAGCTATCAGATATCATCCAAGGACCTCCCAACAGCGCCAATTCATAGTCATCCATAGTAGAAAAATTAACCACAAAAAAATCATTTGAAAGATCCACCACCGAGACAACCCCAGATCTAGCCCACATTTTCTGGATTCTCTGTTCCATACGATTAAGCCCCAATCTCTTGCCCAACAGCTTCACAATGAGGCTTAACTTAAATGGTTTTCTAATCTTTTGCAGGGCCCTTTTAGAAAGCACAAACTCAGGTATCTCAAATTTACCTCTCTGATGCTTAAGAATAGAGATATGGCACTTCATCAGACCAAATTCTAGCTCATCTTCCTCCATCGCTTCATCTCTGTTGGTCGCGTCTCGTTGCACATCAGCTCCCTTCAAGGTATCCCTAAACGATCTCACCTTCCCCTCCTCACCAGCTCCATCTGCCACATTCGCCTTAATCTTTTTTTTACTTCGCTGCAGTAAATCAGCTTCCTCCGCCGTGCGTCTCCCTGAATCTCTGAGCAAGGGAAAATTCTCCAGCGAGAGCACCTGGTGTTTCGCCATTTTCAAATTTTAACACTATTAACAACTTTAGTATAACGGTTAACAACAGGTTTTTGGGAAAATTCAACAATTGGTCGCTAGAGCTCCGGCAGCCGGAAAGAATTTTTTTGAAAATTTTTACAATTTTAGTATAACGGTTAACAATTTTTGTAATGCTATTAACAGCTTCAATATAGCGATTAACAATAGGTTTTTTGAAAAATTCAACAATTAGTTGCTAGAGCTCTAGCGGCTGGCAACAATTTTTTTTGAAAATTTTTATAACTTCAGTATAACGGTTAATAATTTTTGTAATGTTATTAACAATTTTAGTATAGCAGTTAACAATAAGTTTTTCAAAAAATTCAAAAAGTAGCATTTTTACAACTTCAATTATGTCGTTAACAAGTTTTATAACTCTATCAACAACTTTAGTATAGCGTTTAACAACAGTTTTTATTAAAAATTCAAAAAAATGGCATTTTTATAACTTTAACAACTACTTTTTTTGAAAATTTTTACAACTTCAGTATAATGGTTAACAACTTTTGTATCTCTGTTAAGAACTTTGATATAACAGTTAACAACAAGTTTTTGAGTTTGTTAACGGCATTACTAAAGTTATAAAAATGTTATTTTTTGAATTTCTCAAAAAATCTGTTGTTAATAGCTATATTAAAGTTGTTAATAACGTTACAAAAGTTGTTAACCGTTATATTGAAGTTGTAAAAATTTTCAAAAAAATTATTTCCACCTACCGGAGCTTGTTGAATTTTCCAGAAAACCTGTTGTTAAATGCTATACTGAAGTTGTTAATAGCGTTACAAAAGTTGTTAATCGTTATACTGAAGTTGTAAAAATTTTCAAGAAAACTGTTTCTAACTGCAGGAGCTTCGACGTCCAATTATTAAATTTTCCTAAAAACCTGTTATTAACCGCTATATTGAAATTGTTAATAGCATTACAAAAGTTGTTAACTGTTATACTGAAGTTGTAAAAATTTTCAAAAAATTTATTTCCGGTCGCCGGAGCTTGTTGAATTTTTCAGAAAATCTGTTGTTAATGTTATACTGAAGTTGTTAATAGCGTCACAAACGTTGTTAACCGTTATACTGAAGTCGTAAAAATTTTTAAAAAAAAAAATTCTAACGGACGGAGCTCCGGTGACCAATTGTCAGTCGGTCGCCGAAGCTTTGTTGAGTGCCATTGCCGGAGCTCTGGCGACCGGCTAGCCAGTGGGGATGTGATACTTTAAGAACAATATTCAAAAGGAAGGGCAATTTGGTCTCATGTGACCAAAATGGCATTTTGCAAATTCAGCGGACGTTCTGGTCATTCTGAAGTTAAGTTAACATTTTTCTGTCTTTTTTCCCTTTTTTATTGTGATCTCTTTTAATTTATATATAATGTTAAATTTATACGAAAATTCTATAATTATAAACCATAGATGTTATAACTTGTTTCATATGTGATGCAAAACATCAACTCATAATTTAGTTATTGTCATAGGCAAATCGGTAAAATGTATTTAAAAAAGATAACTAAATATATTTAACAGCGATCAAGCTGTTTTGATGTTAAAATTACAATAATTACCGTTTATAATGGAATGTGTCTTTTTTACTTTGCTTCTTATTTTTCTCTCCCTAATATGCGGTGGATTTGGTCGGCTTGCTGGTTGCTATCTTAAATCTTAAAATTATTAAATTAGTATATCAATTTTATCTAATGTTTTTTGGCCAGCCATCAATTTTATCTAATGCTCGTCCGATCTTTAATATAAGATCCATTTAACTAATTTGACTAGATTAAGGAAGTTAGGTAAGTTAGTTAACTATAAAAAATGTGACATATTTTTCCCAAAATACCATAATCATCTTTCTTAATACCCTCTCTCCCTCTTCTACTTGATTATAGTTGATAGAGTATCTATAGGGGTAATTTAGAGAAAATTAATAAATATGAGAAATAAGTCTTATATTTAGAACCAAAATCAACTCAACAATTAGGTCTTGTATTAAGGACCGGAGTAGTACTACTACTATCATCTTTTTTTGGGCAAATTTTATCTGATTTTTTTTTTTAAGGGGAGTCCAGAATACGGATTTACATGCGTATCTCTTCTAGTCCTAGTAAGATATTATTGATACGGTAACGTGAGAGGGTCGGCATCTGAAGCTCTCCACGTATAAATTGTCCGGCACTATGTAACCTCGCCCCCTCTAAGCTCTGTTGCGCCCCCTTTCTGTCTCTTCCCCTTGAGCTGTGGTTGTGGTTGGAGCGATCCGAGAGAAAGTTTTCAATCATGTTGGTTTACCAGGATCTCCTCACCGGTATCTTCTGATTCAACTTTCTCTTTGAACGTTTGTGATTTTTTTTTGAATTCGTTGTCTCATCCGTTATTTTTGTTTTCCGTCTGGTTGCTTTTTATTTTCATGCTTTCCACTCTTAAAAGCAGTAATTTCTTCGTTTGATTCTGTATTAGATTGTCGCTGTTGTCTATACGAGCTTGCCTAGATCTGTTTCGTTATGATAATTTTCTTTCGTATGCTACTTTTGATTTACTTGTTCACCTTTTATGTTCCTTTTGTAAAGGGTCGGATCTGGCATCTATATGTTATCGAAAGTTGAGGCACATGTGTTTTTTGGGCTAATCTTGGTTATGCGCTCTTATTGACAACTTCTTTATCGAGGGATCGATTATTTTCCGTGGCTTGCGTTGTTCGCAGTAAATTGGGGTATACGATTAGAGCCGATGGGATGGTTTTTCTTGTAGTATTAGTAACCTAAATCTCGTGTTTGGAGTGTTTTCCTTGGCCCTAAATGTTGGGGGCCAATATTTTATGCATAGGTCTTGAATCTGCATCAGGTTAGGTACCCCCGATTTTACAGGGTCGACAATTGTTTAATGCTACTTATGCATCTTCCTTAATCGATATCAGCAAATCTATGTTTGAACAGGTTATAGTGGTGGGCCCCTTCTAATGAACTAAGGTATATTCATTCAGTAGCAAGTTTTAAGTTTTTAACGCTAAGGATCAACTGAAGTAAGAGGTCCTTGCTGAATACCTTTGAAAGTTTGTTTTTAAATGTTGTACATATAATTATATTTTACTTTTGGGGCAATTGCTGTTCAACATTTTTTTCCCAAATTTTCATTTTGGGCCAAAAGCTGTTTCAGTTAGGTTGATTGTCTGACGCGAGTTTTGTTGTTGATGTAGAAAATTATGGGGGACTTGCATGTTATATTTCAACTGTTCCTTTTTTTTAGTATTCTTATATTGAAAAATTGACTGTGCTCATTTATTAATTTATTAAGTGTATAATATTTGGATTTCTTGGAGCAATTCTGACCATGTATCGCGCAGGTGATGAGCTTCTCTCGGACTCGTTTCCATACAAGGAAATTGAGAATGGAATGTTGTGGGAAGTTGATGGAAAGGTTAGTTAATTTTTCTCCCATTTGTTGGATTTTTGGGTTTGTCTGCATGTGGCTTTTTGATTTTCTATGGTTGTAAAATACTTATTCAGTTTCTTGGTTTCTATATATATATATATATATTTTTATATGAATGGTAAGTTGAGGACTGTTTCTTTTGGCCTGCTGTAGTGGGTTGTTAAGGGAGCAGTAGATGTAGACATTGGTGCTAACCCTTCTGCTGAAGGCGGAGAAGATGAGGGGGTTGATGACCAAGCTGTCAAGGTTGTTGACATTGTTGATACGTTCAGACTTCAGGTTAGTTAGGCCAATCGTGCAACCTTACTCTTCTTTTCATATCCAGAGTATTTTTCTTCTAAGTTCATAGTTTAAGTATTTTGTTACCTAATCCTTGCAGGAGCAACCTGCCTTTGACAAGAAACAATTTCTTGTCTTCATGAAGAGGTATATCAAATTGTTAACACCCAAACTAGAGGCAGAGAAGCAAGAGCTGTTTAAGAAGCATATTGAGGGAGCTACCAAATTCCTGCTCTCCAAAATCAGTGATCTTCAGTTGTAAGTGTTGTTACCATAAATGCTAAAACTGCCTTTGTGTGCATGTGTGCGTGTTTCTATGCTAGCATATTTGACATGACTTATCAATATCTCTTGGTCCAATACAGTGTAAAATTCCTCAGAAAGTCTACTTAGTTTTAGTCTTATTTGCAGTTTTGTTGGGGAAAGCATGCACGATGATGGTAGTTTGGTCTTTGCTTACTACAAGGATGGTGCTACTGATCCAACATTTCTTTACCTTGCTTATGCTTTGAAGGAGGTGAAGTGCTAAGTGGCATCATAACCCTCAAATCTGGGGTTTCTGCCCCCTATCTATTTGATTTCTCTTTTCGTTATGTACCAAGTGACTGGAAGTGTTCAGGATTAATGGTGTTATTATAAATTATCGATCTGACTCTTTTAAATTGTGGGACAGTTTACGCTTTGATTCCGCTAAATTTTGAATGCCAGTTAAATTTGTTAATATTGTTCTTTTGTTTGAAGTTATTTGTCTTTGAAACGTTTGTGGGGTATCCATATGAAAAATGCTTGACTTGAACTTCTGGTCTCAACCTTGCGTTGAGAATAAACTCAGATCAGGATCCGATCCTTTAGTGCAAAACAGTTTCATGCTTTCAATTTCAGTTCTACTGAAGGGCAACAAAATCGTGATCCATCCATCTATCATTAGCTGGAGCTTGCAATTGTTGGAGTTCTAATTTAACCATGAGATTCTACCCCCGAATTTCTCGAGAAAATCAGTCCGGTTGTGCAATTTTATATAGCCTTTCTCAAGTTGAGGTGAACCAGTGGTCAAAAGAGCTAAAATAGTACTTTCTTAGATCCTTAATATAAGATATTCTTCTGGTTGTTAATATCAGACTTAGTTAATTAATTTGATTAAATTAAAGAAGTTAGGAAAGTTAATTTTAAGGAGTATGATATGTTTTTAAAAACTATTGTAATTATTTTTAAATATCTTTTCTTCTTATTTGGTTATGATTCAGAGAATATTAATAAGGATAATTTAAAAAAATTAATAAATATA